GCGCAGCTGTCTTGGCAAGTTCTCGTTATGAAGGACGGGTACCGAAACGAGGCACCGTTTCAAAGGACGTGAATCGGTGCTCGGTCGGTACTGTGGAATTCGGTTGGTACCTTAAAAAGTACAGAATTCGGTACCTATCCCTATGAAAGGGGCAAAAGCCACAACTGATAAAACCAACTGACAAATAAACTCGCATGATCCAAAACAAAACAACAAAGAAGCAATCTCCTAAACAGACACAGATTTTGACTAAAATCTTTGGTTTGCGGAGATTCCCAGTGCTTCCAGACGTCTGACCCTGTAGGCTAAAGTAACCTCAGGGAGTGTGAGTCACCATCAGAGCTGCAGAAAAGACCCGAGCCTCAGCTGAGCTCTTTCCTGTCATTCTTTTTGCCACCTTGTATTAATGCTCCGGAGGTCCGCTAAGCCTCGGCAGCTGAATCATTTTCCTCATGAGCTCTGTGTGATGCTGTGAGATTAAACCTTGCTGATAGCTTGTAATAAACACGCCACATTCCCTAAAAGCACAAAAGTCTGATTACTGGCTGAAAGCTTTGAAGTGAGAGCTCCTCCCAGGCTGCCGCTGTTTTCATGTCTCCTCTTGTTTTCTTGTGTTTTCTTCTCTATGAGGAGCAGGTAAAGCTCCTGGCGCATCGCCGAAAGTCTCGCAGCACGAAACAAAGGAAAAAGATCTGAATCTTGGCTTTAGTTGGGTTACGTGTGGACACAATTTAATTTCACTTAGTCATAGGTGAGACTGTGTTGGTGAGACGTGCATCAGTGTGACCTAGAAAGGAGTGCGGAAAGTTTTAGGGGTTTGGAGTTTTTACCCCTCTGCCGGATCATTACACAGAGGCATTCATTTGACTGGCAGGTGATGCAGGAAGGTCGGTTTAGAAGATAATGAAATATTCATGAGTCTATGAGGTGATGGCAGGGTTTAATATCTTAGGGGGATGCTGCATGTGCCCATTCATCAGTGTCTGGCTGCTTAGACCCTCCTGGTAGTGGACTGGACACTCTGGACTCTTCTAACCTACTTCTGTTAGCACGGTGATGCAACACCATGTGTCAGGCTGAGTTCTGGGCCCGAGACCAGGACTGATGGTTCCTTGTGCCAGCTGTTCGGGTTTAATGGCAGAAATTTGGCCATTAAAAGGGATAGATCTGGATTCTGCGGAGAAATGATAAATCTCACCTGGTGAGCCTCTGAAAAATCCTCGGTTTGAAGTGTCAGCTGGTCGCAATGAAGAAACTGGATCTCAGTAATAATAAAGAAACTCTAATAATCATAAAAACGTACAATTATTTATTTCACTACTTTATTGATCAACTTCTAATTGACGATTTTGCCATTCCTGGAAGCCCTCGTTGTCCATTCCTGGATTAAGATTATCCCATTGGATTACGGGCCAGGGTTGTCAGGCTCCTCACCTTGGCGAGGAGGGTTATAGCGTTTGACAAGACCCAAATGAGTGCTAGCGATTGGAGCTCTGAGTCGTTTGGCGTGGAACTGGGAGTCAGACAGGAACACAGCTAGCTGTGACCACTAGGCATGAATCATTAGTCAGGACGTCCCTGAGCGAGGTGAACATGGAAGCTCCTGGTGTTCAGCATGACCTAATGAGCCGATGCACTGGAAAAGTAAAAGGCTCAAGTAAAGTAAAAACGCGGTACCGCATTAGGCGCTGTTCTACCCGACACAAAACGGGAATGCTAAGGCCATGGACACAGCGATGACTGAGCTTTTATTGTTCTTCTTCTTCTTCAATGAGATGGGCAGGCTAGAGGCCAACGAGACGTATTCAAAGTCAGTTTTATTGTCAATTCTACCACATGTGCAAGACATACAGAGAAATGAAATTGAGTTTCAGTACACACAATTCAGAGATCAGACATACATGGGCAAGACACATGACAAGAGCTGGTGACTGTGGTCCTTCGCAACACGAGTTGCGCTACCTTAAAAGATCAAAAGGGAATTACATGAGGATAAATTGGGGGAGGGAAAAAAGGCATACCAGAGTTACTCCCGGCAGGGCGTAGCTTTAATGTGCAAAAAATAAATAAATAAAACGCCTCAAACATATAAGCACAAACATCACAACATGAGACTCCGATAGGGAGGCGGGGGGGGGGGGGGTGGGGGGTGGGATCCTGCTTCCCCAGCAGGAGCAGCCCTGTGTGGCGCTCAGCCAGCTGTATCCACAGGAGGGAGGGAGATCTTGGAGGAGCGCAGAGCACATTTGAGTTCCTGCAGGTTGATGACCTCGCTAGGCAGAAGTCCACAATCTGAAGGCGGGGGGTAGGACGGGTTTTCACAGCATCTGTCTGCATTCCTTCCTTCGTGGGGGTTGTTGTTAGCAGCTCAAGGCTGCCTTGGCGTCAGATTTGGATAACAAGACTTTGTTTGGGTCAGGCAGAGATAATTTTCCTCTCTGCCTTGAAGTCTGTATTGATCATTCAAGTCCTCCAGTGAAGCCAATTTAGGTACTAATCATCCCCACACCGTCCGGTGACCCTCTTCGAGATGACATCCATTTTGCGCACTAATACCGGCAACGCAGCAGGAACATTGTCCATCTTACGATTCACCTCGAGTAACTTCCCAGTCTGTGAGGTCACCGCCCGGGCGGTGCTTTCCGTGGGTGCGGGTTGCCCTCCAATCGCTCCCGTCTCCCCAAATTTCCAGAAAACCAGATATCCTCCCACTCCAATCAGCCACCACAACCGCACAACTCACAGCCAATAAACATCACAGCCACTCATAAACCCCAGTGAGCTATGATTGTTGTGATGACTTCCTGATAGGGGGAGCGTGATGACGTGGAGAGGTGACTACTTGTGCAGGGGATCCTGGGAAGTGAAGTCCTAGGTATGGTCCCGTGTGAAGTGGATGACTGAAAGGCTGGAATCTCGACAAGGGTCTCCCTCCTTTCAGAGTGGGACTGTGTGTGATGTCAGGGATCCCACACAAGCATTCCCATCACGTTCTGCCCGATCTCCACATCATTCATTTCCATTTGATCTGCATTAAAGTTGGTGCAAAAAAGAAAAAGTTTCAAAAATGTCTTACCCACCTTATTCCAATGATGTACATGGTATATATATATATATATATATATATATATATATATATATATATATATATATATATATATATATATAAATGGAGAGAGAGAGAGAGAGAGAGAGAGAGAGAGAGAGAGAGAGAGAGAGAGAGAGAGAGAGAGAGAGTGGATATTGGTGGTCATCAGGGCAATCGGGGCAGTAAACTGGAGGAGTGCAGATTCCAGGATCAACATCAGACATCTGAGTACAGAAAAGTCCAGTTCTAGGAACAGCCAAGGTGCTGCACAGAACCCTCAAGCTCCCAGACCTCTGGTAGAGGACCTGAGCTTGGAAGGATGAGACCACCCACGAAGGGTGAGATGGGGATTTGTCTTTTAAATTGGTCTTTTGAACTTTTCTTTCAAATATATCACAAAAAATATCACTTTTAACTACTTAAGCCTAATTTATACTCCTCCGTCTGCATCGGAACGGACACACGCAACGCCATTATCCATCCTTTCGATGGCTCTCCTACAGGCTCGCAAGGACGGGCGGAGTTTAGCTCTCTTTTCTAAACAGCCATTTGTTGAAATGGAGAATACAAGCTTGTGATTGGTCAGGATGCCACTGTTGTCTACAGCACCGCCATTGCGCCCTTAACCCTCCCACTGTTCTAATGGGTGTGACCCCGTGAGGAAAGTTGACCATTGAGCAAGGTTGATGGTTTATCCCTTGGGTCCATGTGGCAGGGGTGAGGAGTGAGCACCGCCTCACCTCTGCCACGTGGACCTCAAGGGATGAACCATCAATCCTGGTCAAAGGTCAACTTTCCTCACGGGGGCATCCATGAAGACAGTGGGAGGGTTAAAAACATAAAGAGGGTCGAGGATATCTAGTGGCGGACACGAAGAAGCTTGAAGAATACTTCGCAGAAAAACTCCAAAAATATGAACGTTTTATTCCACAGTGACTGGAGGAGTGAAAATATGTGCAGCAAGCATTTCATTGGGACAGAAATGACAGGTAATGTAGGTTTAGAGGTGGCGAGCACATGAAGAGGTGGAGGAGAATGAGTGACACATTTGTGTGTGTAAAAAAGTCTCTTAGATACAAAAAACTAAATCTAAACACTATCTTGGAGCGGATACATGACAGGATACCACAGAACAGCGCTTCGCCCCCTGTTGTCCTGGTGGGGAATTGCTTTGCAACACTCCCCAGGAGACGGAGGAGTATATATAAGATGGCAAATTGTCTCCATCCGTGCATGCGTGTCTCCCCCTCTTGGAGCTGATGGAGAAGTATAAATTAGGCTCTAGGCTCTGCCCTCAACAGGGGCAGTGCCAGGATTTCCCCCCTGCAATGGGTTACCCGTTGCTTAGTAAGTAAGGAAGGAATTGTTGATCTTTGTCGGCACGGACTGAGGAGCAGGGGTTACAAAGCTGGTGCTTTGCCAAAAAGTGTTGCTGTATCAACCCCAATCTACTGCATGGTGTTGCCCCTGGTCCTTAGCCTGGTGGTGGTGGGGGTGACACAGGGACAGCCCCACTATTTGTACAGACGTCAGTAAAAAGTGGCATTTGATTCCACTGAGACTAGCCACTAGCTCATCGAGCCGGCTTAAACTAATCTCTGTTTCTCCAAACTGAGGTTGTTCAGAGTCATCCGCAACAGGTGGCATGTTTGTTTCTATGATCAACAATAAGAGGTTGATAATCATGTGACTGCACATGAATGAAGTCCTGGGTGGTGTTCCAGAAACTTCTAGTCATCTGATCTTCCAGAGAGAGAGAGAGAGAGAGAGAGAGAGAGAGAGAGAGAGAGAGAGAGAGAGAGAGAGAGAGAGAGAGAGAGAGAGAGAGAGAGAGAGAGAGAGAGAGAGAGAGAGAGAGAGAGAGAGAGAGAGAGAGAGAGAGAGAGAGAGAGAGAGAGAGAGACTCGTGACTCGCTGAGTATCTCTACTTTGCGCTTCCTCTAATCACCTGACAGGGTTGCCTCCTCTTTTTCAGCTCCCCGGCGCTGAACCAGGTGAAGTATTCCAGGGAGTGGACTAAAGAGCTGTCAGCAGCAGAGTCCAAGTAAAGAAACCCGCCTGAGGGTACCGGATCGGTCGAAGAGACTGTTTCAGGTGGCTGAGTTGCGATGCGCCGCGTGCGTGATTAGGGAACGTCGCCTCTGTGGATTGAAAAAGTGAACGGTCGTCCTCGCAGACCGGGACATCCGTTGTCCAGCTCACACTTGAAGGATTTCTTTCTTCCCTTTTAAAAAATTCTTTCTCGGAATCATGAAAGTATCGCCCACGGACCGGAGGAAAACCGTGCGACAGCTGGCTTTGGAGATCGGCATCCGGGTTCTGCTTTTCGGAGTTTTTGTGTGAGTAAACCCTCGATCAGCTGAGTTTGTTGTTCTTTCAGAAGAATGGTTTTAAATAGAGACAGGGTTAAATAGAGAGGGTCGTGGTGGAGTTTGAGCCTCATCGCTTCGTTTCCCGCTGTGTGGTGCTAGAAAAGCCGCAGTTCAGCACCATGGACAGAGCCAATTCCCGGTAACAGGTGCTTCGTCTCAGTTAGGACAGAATTCCTCTGGATTTTAACATGATTCCTGATCCCAGAACAGCTGCTTTTCAACACCAAAGGAGCCTCCGCTGCTCCGATTTGCTCTGATGAATTTTAGATTTGTGCCTCGCAGGCGCAATCTTCAAAACTAACACCAACATACATTTTTAATTGTTTGCATTGCCTGGAGGTATAAAGTCTGTTTGCATCAATGTTTTTTTATTTCCTTTTGCTTGACATGATGTGACGAGAAGCTAATTATTATTATTATTTTTATTGTTATTGTTGTTATTAGCTCAGCTTTCATCACGTCACTGGAAAGAAAAAGAAAGTCGAAGCAGCACCGGTATCTTAGTTTTTGTTCATTATCGTTCATTTCTGTCCTCGGGTGAAATGCATTCAACATTAAAACATGACTCAGCCAAGCTGTGATGCAGTCAAAACATTTAATCTGAGAAAAACTTTATTTGTTTGAAAAAATAAGTTAAATAAATAAATCTCATATTATGTGGCTTCACTGCTCAGAGCCTTTTGTTAAAAGAGATTTTTATTCTTGCACAATGAAGCCAAACCAAGAAAACCTGATTTTGTTGGAAGTTTGGTTCATGACTTTTACCTTCATACCAGGACTAATTGTCTCTTTTGAGCACAGGTTATAAATGCAATAAAATATTGAAGAATTTGGTGTCCATGATTAAAAATTCAAAAATGTGGGTAAAAATAAAAGGAAAAATAAGCCTGTTGGCTTTTAAGTGACGGTAAACAACAGAAGAATGTTAAAGACGTATTAAACATGAGAAAAAGGAGAATTTTGTCCGATTCTTTTAAGATTTGAATTCAGACACATTTCATCTGGAGCGGATCAAAAACAGCTGCTGTCCCTGAAGAGAGACGGGTCATGTTCTTGTCACGAATCTGGGAAAGTGAAAACTGGGATCAGCTGCTGTTTTCTCCAGAGGCGTGAGGGACAGTCGTTCACACATCTTTTCTACATGAAGATCTGTAAAGATTTGGTCTTCAGGTAGTTTAATGGTGCAGCAGTAGTTCAGGAGATGGAGCGGGTTGTAATAGGAAGGTTGCAGGATCCACCCTGGTAGAGAATGCAGCTGTTGTGTCCTTGGGCAAGACACTAAACCCACCTTGTCTGCTGGTGGTGGTCGGAGGGACCCATTGAGCCTGTGCTCATCAACGCCGCCTCTGTCAGTGCGCCCCAGGGCAGCTGTGGCTACATCGTAGCTCATCCCTACCAGTGTGTGAATGGGTGTGTGAATGGATGAATGATACACTGTAGTGTAAAGAGCTTTGGAGACCTCTGCAGGTTAAGGTTTTGTTTTCTTTAATAATTCAGCTATCGTTTTAAAAATCTTCCAGTCTGTTCCTCATTGGCAGCTCCTTTTTAAATTAGACTAACAGCAAGTAGAAAATTAAAATTTTCATTTGACATTTTTATTCCTTTACAAAACTGATCAAAATGTGCTTTAAAATGAGACAAATCTTCAAAAACAAGTGAAATTCCCCACTGTGGGATCAATTAATTCTCTGGTCTGGGTTTGAAACATTAGAAATGCATCAAAGATTCTGTTTGTCCTTCTGTCGGTTTTGATTATGATTAAATTAATCCAGCGAGTCTCGGCCTCAAAAACAGCAGCATTAACATCATACCAAAGCTAGGTCTCTTCAACTAAAATCTCAAAAAAATCCTAGGAGTTCATCTGACGATCTTTTACCTTCACACTGGCATTAATCTTATTTTACTCAATTATTTGTGGAGAAATTTGATATTTTGATGAGTAGAGTTACAGATCGTCCACTAATTTCTGCTGAAAATCACTATTAGTGATGTGTCGGTCGCGAACGAACCGGCTCTAAGAGCCGGTTCTTTGAAGTGAACGACGGGAGCCGGCTCGTTATTGGGAGCCGTCCCCTCCCCTCCCCCCTCCCCTCTTGCTTTAGTAAAAGCTACAGGCAATTGGTCAACATGTGTAACTGCATGTCCAGACTGTCCACACACAGAGCAGTAGGGGGCGGGGAAGACAGAGGATCAGACTCAGACACACAGCAGAGCACATGCGGGCGGAGGGAGATGAGAGGGAATGAACCCTCCACCTGAACCAATCCTAATGTAACCCTCTTATCTCTAGTAAGGTAGCGCGACTCAGGTTGTGAATGACCACAGTCACCAATTCTTGTCATGTGTCTTGCCCATGTATGTCTGATCTCTGAACTGTGTGTACTGAAACTCTAATTTCCCTCTGGGATTAATAAAGTATTGATTGATGAGGAGGAGGAAAAAGGCGAGAGAGAGGAAAGTACGATGAAGACGGTGAGAAAATGAGCGCCAGCAGTCGGAAAGTGGAGATTTCTTAGTGTTCAGTTATTAAATCCATAGAAATGATAAATATTTGATATATTGCATTTTTTTTCTCAATTAGTAAATCATTTTACATATAGTTTTGCATTATTTTGGTTATAAATGTACTCTTCGCAACAGAAAATCTGAGGAGCCACTTGGGAGCCGAAAGAGCCGGCTCTTTTTGGTGAGCTTAGCCAAAAGAACCGGCTCTCTCAAAAGAGCTGGAATTCCCATCACTAATCACTATAAGTAATCATGCATAGTGGTGAAAATTTTCATGAAAGATAGTAGGGGTGTAACTACGTAAGGACTAATTCAGTTGACTGGTTTGTCATCTTTGGTTCATGGTGAGTGTGTTTAAACCCCAGAATGATGCTTCAACTTGATCTGAACACTCCACAAACATTAAATAATTATTTTTTAATCCAGATAAAATAAAAATGTCTTTATCGTCTCATTTTACAGATCTAAATATTATTCAGTCATGTGGTTGTTCTACATTTCCTGGAGGTGCTACAGCAGGTTTTTATATTATACAGTAATATAAATAATTTCTGTCTTTTCTGATGCCCTGTCCATTTAAGGTTTCTACCTGGTCTTTAGATTATTGCCACACTCTGGATTTGAAAGTGATGCGAGCGTCTTCACAGCTAACGTAGTCCGAAAAAGCTATGCTAACTGCTACTTAATGGCACCCAGCAGCAGCCACCTCAACAGAATGTCACACTTTAATAAATGAAATTCTTTTTACATCTCTGTTACATGCATTTCTAAAGATTTTCATTACTGGCCACACTCAGACTAGCTGTTAGCATATCAATTCAGTCGAAACCAATCAGTTTCTTTTTTTACACAATCGTTCAAAGATCGATCCACAACAAATTTTAACAGATTTAATCGTTCCCAAAAAAAGCTACTTTAAAAGATCAGAACTATCCTGTAAGGAGTCCAAAATCACCCCCAAGAGAAATAATACAAAACCCAAAAGGTTAAATATAAAGAAAAAAACAGTTAGAATAAGAAAAATCTCTCTTTTTCTGGGCTTTGGATAATGAGATCGATGCGGTTTCACATCACTTTCATACCAGAGCACAACGAGCAGAAGCTCAAGCAAATACCAAGATGTCATTCCCTCTTTGAAGTGTTTTTTTAGGGGAAAGAAGCCCATGTGCTTAACACAACATAATTTTTGTGCTTGTTTCAAATACTGTGGTAGATTTGAATATGTAAAAGAAAAAAAATCCCAGTACTATCAAACAGCAACTAAAACAACAGAGGTAGTGGAAGAAAGTAAAATAGACATGCCGGGGAGCAGATTTGGGTGGTGTTTAAAGGCAGTAGGTTAAAAGCCAAGGCATGAAAAGTCAAACTCTAATGCTTCCTGATGGACTGATTGACCGAAGATGAGGACGGCTCTTTTCCTGGCTGATGTACACAACAAAAGAAAATAGATGTGTTTGTGAGAAGATCAACAATTTGGGTCTGAGGCAAAGTGCTTCTGTTGGACAAAATGATGGCCAAGGAGAAAATATTTTGTTAACTGAATGCAGTGAAACTTTCTTTCACTATTCTCTTGAGCTGGTTTTCCTTTGTAGGGTCACAGGAGCTAGTGTCTATCCAGCAGCACAGCATGAGAGGTGGGGGACACCCCGAGCAGGTCTCCAGTCCATCACAGAGACATGCAGAAACAACCACTCACGTCTGCTGGAGGATCCTGCAGCACCAGGAAAACCCCACACATGCATGAGAACATGCTAACCCCACACAGAAAGGCCACAGCTGCTCTACCTACCACGCTACCATGCAGCTGTACTGAAACTGATGCAGATAAAAATGTTCAGGATGATAAATCACACCTGATTGTGGTTTTATTGGATGGAATAATTAAATTTTTGTTTTTGTTAGAAGCTAAGACGCAGAATTCGTGAGGACAAAATTTCAGCTTTCTGACTTGTTTAAATAAGTTTATTAAATAACAAAAGCCAGTAAACAGGAGTGACCCAGAAGTTATTTCTTGTACCCCTAAAGCCGGGCGTACACTGTGCGACTTTTTCACTCGTAGCGTTCAGCTTCAGCTCGAACTGTACGACTTCCTCGCTGGGCAGATCTCACGAGTCATGCGCTCACACTGTGCGACCCAGTTCTCGCATGCGACCTGACTGCTCACACTGTACGTCTGCTAGCAACACGTCGGCCCTAAAAATGTGCTAAAAATAGCAGTTTTTACTCAACACGTCAGACTTTTTTGTCTTGTTTTGCCTGTTGTCCTTCGGGAGTGCTGCAGGAGGACACACAAGGATTTATGGGGGTTGGATGAGGAAAAAGAAATAAAGAAAGTAAATCTGAGTTTTGTGATCAGTTTAATTTGACATGAACACGACAAACACGCTTTCTTGACAATCTTTGTGAGTAAAAAAACGTGTAGAAATTAAAACGAACAACGTGTGTTATTAGGGAAATAGCGG